CTTCTATAGCACGGAAGGAGACCAAGACCATAATAGTAAGGGATACAACCTTGATTATTTCTCACTCAGCTGATGAATACATAATTTACAAAAATAAACTAGATCTAACATTATAAATGAGGAGTACAGGCATGGCACAAACAAAACTGACATTAAGCCTATATTTATATGCCCAAATTAATATTCATTAGAAAAGAAGTTGATATTTTCGATATAATATTTATCCTTTGGAAGAGACATATTTATCTGAAAATATATTTATCTCAATATCAGGAATGTATGAATATAGAAATGCAACTAATAAATTCTAGAAACAATTTCTCCGATATATTCAAGGAAATAGAGTAACATTTTTGAATAAATACCATATTTGCATCCAACTTGATAATTTCGTTTCTTCTAAACGTCCAAGAAAAACTATTCAGCAACATGAGCTACATACCCAGAATAAGCTATTCGTATAAAAATCTATATTCTACACTTAATTCAAATTTTTAAAAGTCTTTAAAAGTCTCTCTCTGCTAAGATTTCAGGTCTACTGTATATTATACCAGTTCCCAATTGACTACGACTAAACAGAAGATCACACTATCTTGGTCTTCATATCCACGAATAAATGTAAACATATACACAGGCATCGGCTAAAAGCTCAAAGATAATAGATGTTGATTCTAATGTGAAGATTGATAGAAATGGAACAAGTGGAAGTGCAAAAAGTGTAAATGGAAAAAAGAAGATAGGGAAACTAAACATACCGGCCCCGGTAGACAATTTTGGTCGGTTGAACAGCCAGTACCGTGGCTATTAGATCGTCGGCGCTATGGCGTCTCCCAGCCACGGTCATCAGGCCCTCTATAGAGCCGCAGATAAATAATAAGCCTCCCTAAAATGAAACAGTACAAAATGAAGAAGCGAAAATAAAAAGAAAATAAATATGATAAGGGGCCTAGTAACAGGGGTCACCGAAAACTTATTCCTCATCAAAGTGATATTATTATCAATTAAATATAAACGATAATTATTTCTTAGGAATAAAAATTTTTCTGTCAGCTTAA